CATCATGACCCGCTTTTGTTGGCAAATATGATTACAGGAAGACAGTAAAAATCCTTCAGGTAACACACAAAAAATAGTGTTCTTCTTTCATGGATTATGCTGTTGAGCTTATACTGAGTAAGAATCCATGTGATGAAAGTTTTCAAAATAAACTTGAATAGGAAGCAACTAAACGTCTAAACCAGTCCACTTTGCTGCTTGTAAGTGTCATGGGAAAATAGTAGCAGGATATGCTTATAAACATTGGTCTTTGTCTTCACTGTCAGCTGTGATTAAGAAACACGTTCTCCCTTACCCGTTACCTTTCTAGTGTTACTCACTCACATCCTGTTGCAGTGTCATCCTATTTCCTATTGCAGTCACCTTCTACATAACATGGTGGTTTATTCATTTTGTGGATGGCTTTTTCTCTCCAATCTATGCTCAACTTGGAATTGATGTTTTTGGTAAGCATTTGCCCCTTCTCCATGAAAAACAACTAACTTTATCCCTATGTTATTAATGGCACCGACTCATTTCATGGTGTCTTTAAATAATGGCCTTTATCTCTCTTTGGACATAAAATGCAAAGTCATGCTAAAGAAGAAAGCATTCCAGATGAATTAGCAAATAGTTTTATGTAAATGTCAGCCATATTAGGTTAAGGCTCTTTTCTTGTGATATATTAGCAGTTCATGTTGGTGATACTCTTCTTTGGAGATGACCTCACTTTCTATGGTTGTTCTGATCAGGTCTTGGATTTATGACTTCAATCACTTTCATTTTTTTGGTCGGGGTGTTCATGTCATCATGGTTGGGGACTTCTGTTTTGGGTCTTGGGGAATGGTTCATCAAAAGAATGCCATTTGTTCGGCATATATATAATGCTTCAAAGCAAATTAGTTCTGCCATATCTCCAGGTATGCTTTATGGATTTTCAGTGTCATACATATTTAGCTTTTAGTTGGAGAGTGATGATTGATACATAACCTCCTACTGCAGATCAGAACACACAAGCTTTCAAGGAGGTTGCCATAATAAGGCATCCTCGTATTGGTGAATATGCCTTTGGGTTCATTACCTCATCTGTCGTCCTGCAGGTATGCCAATGATTACGTGCGTTTTTTTGTATTCTTCAATAATAAGTATTCAACTATCAGCTTTTCCTAGACCGTTTTGAAATTTCTTATTACATGGTGGGCATGTGTAGCAATTGTTTTCGAGAAAATGGTCAGATTTGCCCCATTACTATGCGAAAAGGATCATACTCCCTCCGTTACATTTTCGGTGCAAAAATGCCCCTACCGTTATCCAAGTAGCTCAATATGCCCCCTTTCCCTTAGAAATGTCCAAGGTGGACATTCAATTCCACATGACACTTAACATTTTGGTGAAGTGGACACCACGTGGCATGCCACCTCACCGGTCCTACCCATTTTATCCCTTCCCCCCCACAATTGATTTATACATATTAATTTTGGGATCATGTGGAACTAAAAAGATATATATTGGATTATCAAATAGCTGGAAAACTGAGTGAACAGTTTGTTCATATTACAGCTATTTCCCGAATTACGACTTTCAACTATAATACACAAATTAAAAACAAAGAAGGAACTACAAGAAAGTGAAAAATATAGGAATCTTGAGAAATCAATGATTTGAAATGTAGTTACACTACCCATTTTTACTCTTACTAGTGTATGTTATATTAAAAGCATGAAGGCCTTTAGCGAAATGATGTTAGTCTTTTTTACCCTCGCGAGTGTATTTGAAGTTGGATATAATTGCAACTATGCATAAACCCTAATAATATATTTTCTACAAAACAAGCTCCATGCAAGACTTGTACGATAACATATGTGAAATATTTCATGAGGCTAAGGTAATTTATACATAATTACAATTTTATCCAACTTCAAATACACTTATGGGATGCGAGCGACTCTCTGTTCCCATTCTCCACCGGGTCATCAAGTGATTGCGAAGGGTAAAAAGGATGAACAACATTTCGCTAAAGGCCTTCATGCTTGCAAAATAAATACTACCAAAATGATTCAGTGGTGATATTACTCAACTCAAGCCCGTTCTCCAAGATTGATATGGTGATGATTGATGAATAAGAACCTCGTCAAACGGTTAATAATCCTTCAAAAAATTTGTTTCCCATATAACGAAATGCAGCATTAATTACCCCAATTAAATTATAATTCATATATACCAGCATATCCTCTTGCATTATTTGTAGCTGTTATATATATGACGTAAGAATAAAATAAAAATCTGAATATATCCGGCTTTAAGCATGCTTTGTGAGTAAATGGACGAGAGTTGGGATGGGTCTTTCGTATGAGTAAATGCTCTTCCAGTTTCTTTCTTTAAATTGAAGAGTTGAAAATTTCTATGGTGAATACGGTGGTGATCATATTGGTGGCAGTGACGGTGAAGGGGGTGGAAGAAAAAGAATGTAAAGGGGTTACAGGATTATGTGGTATTGAATATCCGCTTTGGACATTTTTAATAGATGAGGAGTATTGTTTGAGCTACTTTGGCAACGGTAGGAGTATTTTTGCACCGAAAGTATAATGAAGCACAAATATGATCCTTTTCGCAAAGTAAAGGGGTAAATTTGATTTTTAAATTTTGAAAGAGGAAATGGGGGAGAATCGAACCCTCACCAACAAGGTGAAAGTCCGGTTATCCAATCAACTGGACTACTTAGATTCCCTTATGGGTAGCGTTATGATCATATATTCCTGCTGTTGGAAAAAATTATGTACAATAGCATCTTTCATCTATTTTATTTTGAAATTCACTTGTGTGCTACTTTGTCTTAACATCCAATCCAGAACTATTCAGGAGACGAAGAGCTATGCTGTGTGTATGTTCCTACAAATCATCTTTACATTGGTGATATATTCCTCGTTAATGCAAAAGATGTTATTAGACCAAACTTGTCTGTCCGTGAAGGGATAGGTAAGAGATCTTTTCATCGTCAAATTCTCTTGCAAATATATGCATTGAGTTTTGTTCTATAAGCGAGTGCCTTTTTCCAGTATCAGTCTCTTGAAACTATCATGCTCATGCTCATGGTTAAAGCACTTTCTGACATGCTCTTTTCTCCTCTTTTGCAGAGATTGTTGTATCTGGTGGCATGTCGATGCCTCAGATACTGTCAACACTGGATCCAGGAAGTATTCAAGTCGATAGAAGTTGACCTTACAGAAACCACATCTGATAAAATGCTCATCAGTCATCATTTTTTCCCCTTTTTGTTCACGAAAGCTTTCTTTCTTTTTTCATTTTCTTGATATTTGAGGTGTTAGATTCAGGTCACTTATGTGATAACTATGCTGCAGTGTAAAATGTAGGTAAAGTAGCAATGGTTTGAAAAAATATAGTTGGTTGATAATTTCAAGTTAATAGGTTTCTCTCCTCTTGCTTAACTCCTATTTAATGTGTTATATAATACTTATATTAGAATGTTATTAACCTATTAGGGCGTGTTACATGAGAGGATACTCAATTTTTCTATGTTCATTGATCAAAATGTTCGAAAAATATTTTCTCTAGATAAATAAGATTCTTAACAATTTAAAAAATGATTTATTCTTTTTTTAGTGAAATAGGGAGAACAAATTCCACAAGTGAATTTCACGTTGATTGTGCCCTCCTCACTCACCAACAACACATCTTATCTTCACCCCTATCACCCTAGTCCGCATCCCCACCTTACATAGTATTTGTTTGGGGAAATTACGCGGATAGGCAAATATATATTAGTTAATTAGCTAACATAGTTATAGTTTCCATTTCCACTCACAACTTAATTTTAGCTATAATTACGTTGCATCTCTCCTATCTTCCTCTCTCTCACCTCTCTCCTCTTTTATACATAAACAAATACAAATTATACATATACATATACAATTATATGACAGATATACAAAGACAATTATCCTCCATCGCTTGCCTCTCTCCTCCCTCTCCCAATCTCGCTCCCAGATATACAAATACATATATATATACCAGTTACATATTTACAATTATCTGACAGATATACATATATAATCCGTCTCTCTCCACTCTCTGCCCTCTCTTGCTCGCCTCTCTCCTTGCTCACCAGATGTACAAATACATATGTATACCAGTTACATATATACAATTATTTGACAAATATGCATATACAATTCGACAGATATACATATACACTTCGTTTCTCTTCACTCCATGCCCTCTCTTGCTCGCCTCTCTCCACCCTCTAACATGTAGCTGTGAAACATATTAACAAACTATAACTATGGAGCATAATTGAGTTTATTTTAGTGGCTATTTGTGAAATTTCCTCAAATTTTCTAGATATATATATACTGAACACACGAAAATAAGTAAGAAATTCACTTATTTTCCTAGAAAACATTTTCCGAAGTACCGAGTGCACATCCTTAGTAATAAGCCTTATGAATTTTAGCCCAGTAAGAACCCAAAAAATACGAGGAACTTTCGCAAATAGCCACTATAATAAACTTAATTATGCTCCATAGCTATAGTTTGCATATTTACGGGTTGTAGCTACAATTTAAGCTGTCTCGTTTGTATAATTTGCAGGTTTATGTAATTCGCGGGTAGATTTGTATAATTCAGTTTTTTTTGTATAAATTTGAAATAACGAAATTATACAATTACAAACATCAAAAGTGTAAACAGTTATACAAATTTTATTATACAAATTCCGAATTATACAAAAGATACAAATTCCGAATTATACAAACGTGTGAATTATACAAAACCAAAAAGCTGAGCCGTGTAATTATAGCTTAAAGTAGATCGCGAATTGTAATTAAGGCAAACTATAGTTATGTTAAGTAATTAACTAATATATGTTTGCTTATACGCGTATTTTTTCCAAAAAATATTGACATATGAGCCCACAAGCCCATAATTTTAGCGATTTCTTATCGGCCCGCTTCAAATATAGGCCCATCACTAAACCCTAGCTTCCGCCATACGTCTCTATATAAACTACCTTCGTTCTCATTCAGTTCAATCACTCACTCTTCTGTTCTGATCTAGGGTTTTACAGCTTTCACTTACTCCATAAGAGTAAGCTCTGCCCCTTCGAGTTTACAGTTTTCAGTTTCTATTAGATTTGTTTGTTTTCATCTAATTTCCTTTGGCCTATGATTAAAATTCTTAAATATAGACAAGCATATGTCTGAATTTTCATCATGTTGAATACCTAATCTTCTCTATGAGGCCAATTACATCTATTTTTTTTTTTTATGTTTTTCTATCCAGATTTCTACTTTTTGTGCTCAATAATTCAAACAAAAAACTGGGTCATATGATGATTAGAAGCATAGTTCAAATGAAATCTATGTGATTACAAAACTTCTTTTTTAGTCTTTCGCTCCTATCTGATGACTCTTTTTATTACTATTAAAAATCTGATTTTTAAGCAATTAATTGTTGTATTTTTTTTGAAAAATTGAAATGGTTAATGGACAATGACGATTTATCTATTGGTCTCGTTCGTCGTAATGGTGTTTAAACCACCTTGCCGACCATTCTGATATATCACCACCCATAAACTGAGTCCTATTACTATACCTTTTTTTTTGTTTATTTTTCAATTTAGTTCTTCGTTTCTGGTGCTGTGATGAAAAAAATCTTGTGTCGGAGGCTTTTTGTCGCTGATGGTTTACACAACCCTCTAAGAAGTTCTGAGCACTTTTTTTGTTTTCAATTTCAGTATTTTTTCTGATTATTTAGTAGTAGTAATTGAATGATAAGTAATTTATTTTGAGGATGAATGAAGTGATGATAGAATTCATATGTTAATTCACTGAATTACATTTTTATGATGTTAAGAGTGAATCCCGACAGGTTCTGATCGTTTATTAGTTAATTAATCCTCCATTAATTGTGATTTTGCTTTGTTAATTTTATGTCTTGTGGGCAAATGATGAAATTTTTATATCGTAAATGGGTAATTTGCGTCTGAATCTTTCTTTGATGTTATAACCTTGGAGAACTGATGCCCTTTAAACTTTTTACTTTGCATTTTGTTTTCATAATGCCAATTAGCAGAGCAAAGGTGTCTTTCACAAATGACACACATTTGCATTGAAGGTTGGCTATATATATATAGCGATTCTCCGTGCCTTTCAAGCTTTTTTCTCGTATTGATTACGGCCTCGAACAAATTGCTACATTTTCTCCCTTCACTGTTGTGCTTATTTGGTACCTTAGTTGCTTTGTTTTTAACGTAGACAATTTGCAGAGCAAGGGTGTCTTTCAAAATGACATACATTTGCATTGAAGGTTGGCCATATGTATAGCGATTCTCCGTGCCTTTCAAGCTTTCTTCTCGTATTGATTACGGCCTCGAACAAATTGCTACATCCACCAATTATTATGGTACATTTATCTATAAATTTGGTTATATAAATGACTTGATCTTGACAATGAGTTTGTATTATCTAATTTTAGTTTAAGTTTCTTAATTATGCATAAACTATTAAATTTGTGATCTTAGTAGTTACTCTCTGTAGTAAATTTGTTTATTATCATTGGCCGATGATTAAATTTCTAATATAGACAAGCATATGACTGAATTTTCATTATGTTGAATACCTAATCTTCTCTATGAGGCCAATCATATTTTTTCCATATTGTTATGCTTCCTGTGTTCAATAGTTTTATAAAAATAGTTTTTTTTTGTGTTGTCATTGTTTATAAACGGGTCATATGATGATTAAAAGCATAGTTCAAATGAATTCTTTGTGATTATAAAACAATCTTTATAGTCTTTCGCTCCTATCTGATGACTCCTTTTTTATTTGTGTTAAAGGTATGATTTGTTTTTGAAAATTTTGAAAGGGTTAATGGACTATGACGACTTATATCTATTGGTCTCGTTCGTCGTAATGGTGTTTAAACCACCTTGCCGACCATTCTGATATATCACCACCCATAAACTGAGTCCTATTACTAAACTTTGCTATTAATTCTTTTATTTTCCTGTTCATTTTGAGATGTAATGGTTATTTTTTACTTTTATGGTGCTTTGATGAAAAAATCTTGTGTCGGAGACTCTGGTCTGTGATGGCTTACACAACCCTCTAAGAAGTTCTGAGCACTATTTTTTTTTTATTTCCAAACACGGAGTATTGTTTTTCTCGCAAGTATTCAATTTTTTAAGATTATTTGTTATGTTAATGTCTTGTGAGGAGTAACGAAGTGATGATAGAATTCATAAGTCTGTCAATCCACTGAAATACATTTTATGATGTAAAGTGTGAATCCCGACAGGTTCTGATCGTTAAGTGAATAATCCTCCATTTACTTTTCCTTTTTGCGCTTACTCATTTTTGAACTTTAGTTTTATGGGCAACTGATGAATCTTATATATCGTAAATGGGTAATTTGCGTCTGAATCTTTTCATTGATGCTATCAACCTTGGAGAACTGATGCCCTTGAAAAATTTTATTTTGTATTTGAATGATTTTGATGTGGGCTAGTAACTTTTGGATGATTGGTCTGATAAGAGTATAGGAGTGGGAAATTAGGGTGATCAGTGATGGAGTGTAGGCCTCCCGTGATGTGCCCTTGTTTCCTAGAGAATGGCAAGTAACTAATGTGGGATCGTGTAACCGACATTGCAATCGATGATGACAACCCTTCCAATACGATTCAACATCGGTTACTTTTCTACCAACTAAGTTATGCAGCTGTCTTGGAGATTGTAAGTTAACAGGCAGTTTTTTTCTGGGATTTGATACATTTGGTCCACCCATGTTGAACCAAAGAGGAAATGATGTGTATTTATTGTCATCTGACTTGCATTCCATATGTGGATGTTAAAGTGGTGAATGATTCATTATAACTGATCCTCTCAGTGTAAGTTGAAAATATCGTTTTGATTATGTTAAATATGTTCAGAAGATTGCTTATGAAAAGTATTGTCTTTTATTTATTTGTGATCATTGGCTTGTTGTGTAGTTTCCTAATTCACCAAAGAAGATGCAGCTGATAGATGTAAATTTAGAGTTTGAGACGTAGCAACAGAAAAATTCTATTGGAAGGCTTGTTAGTTGTAAATTATACTGATGTATTAAAACCTATGTCAGAATGTAACTGGCTCCATATTTATTTGAAAGTTGTAAATTTTAACCAAAATTGAAAGGTAAATGTAATGCAAATTTACAAAAAAATTACAGGTTTGAAATATTTATTGACAATTTTTTCACCGAGGAAGTTGGCATCACCCTCTTGGGCGATTATTATTGACTATTGTAAATAGTTGCTTGAAACCAACAGTCACAAATGTAAATTGTGACTGGGTTATTATTATTGAATATTGTTAGTAGTTGCTCGACTTTAACTAAATTGTGACCAAGTGAAGATTGCAAAATATTAAGAACTTGCTAAATTGTAAAGTGGTGTTTAAAAAAATGAAGTTTCTTTCTCTAGAAACTTGTATAAAATTAATCAAGTAGACGACATATATCTTAAGTGCTTATTTGTGCACATCAAAAGTTAAGGATTATAATTTTCAACTGACGTTAAGTTAAGAGTCATCTTTATGTGTTAATACCTTAGTTATGCATAGATTACTTTTTATGCATTGTTTGATTTGTTGTATTAAAAATAATATGCATAGTTTAAAAATATTAATTTACAAAATTTGGCCAGAAAATTGAAGTCTATATGATATTTTTTTAATTTTAAAATCAATCAATCTTTTTTTCATTTTTTAATTAAAAGGTATTAAAGTTAAAAAGATAAAATAATATAGGTTATCATTTTGGCTATATTCTGGCCAAATTTTTTGGCCAATATGGTGGAAATAAAAGATCTTTAACCACCACATCTATTAAATTTCTTTGCATTATTAATGCCTAGAAGAATACATTCTTCAATAACTAATAGCATGAAAAAATATACCAAACAAGGGATTACTATTACAAAGAGCTAATGCATGCATTATTTTTGCTAGTACTCTACGAACAACCCCTTAGCGTCCACTGGATATCTAGAAAATCAAAAAAAAAAAATGGCAGATGAAAGTATACCAAGGCTTGAATACAACCAATGACAACATATCCAGTGAAATTTTACAACTGGAATTTGAAGAGGATGTGTACAAAACCTTACATCCTCAGCTCAAGTAAGTCAAATGCCTGCTAATATACATTACATCCTACCTCAAAATAGACATATTACACTACTATGCCAAACAATGAATAGATAATCACTTTTACATTTTCATATCAATTCCAAACAGAAAAGAAGGAATTGTGACTTTAAGTTTTCAGGCTAAATAAGTTATTGAGGCACTGTTATATCACTTGTACTCTCCTGCTTGTCGACAGCACAACCTTCAGGAAGAACTGTTCCGCCAATTCTTTTTGGAGGCCAATACCGAAATATGGACCTGCCTATTATGTTCTTCGCAGGAAGTGCTCCCCTGATAAAAAAAAATGATTCAGATGTAAGATGAGCATATTTAACGAACTAGCAGTTTATAGAAGACGCTGCAACTTTTCAGAGAGCGGAAAACTCACCACACATGGGAATCATAGCTGTTATTCCGATTATCACCCATAACGAAAACTGAATTCTCAGGTACACGCTGCAGTAAGACATGGATAAGAAACAGTAAGAACAGTATGCATTCTTACACTAAGAAATTAAACAACAGACTTTGGCCACAATCAATGTTGTCCCACCCGTGTTGGATCCTCCAAAATGCACTACTTTTGGACAATCCGACACACATATATTGATGTTTTATGAAGAGTCCAAGCAACATAGCCCACTGCTATGATGGTTTTAGGTAGTCAAGTCTGGATGAGCCAATATTTTTGTTTATTCGAAACTTCCTAAGAAAATGAATTGGAGGAAAGCTGATTGTTGAGTTAAATGAATCAGTAGAAATGGAACATACCACTGGTGTCATTTCGTATTTGGGTGCCTCGTTTATAAAATCTTCATTTCGCGCAACTCCATTTACGATCAGCTTTCCTTCATGAACCTGCACTACCAAGAATCACCAAAATATTTCCTTATATATTCCTGGCAATTTGGCCATATATTTGGTAATACAAATTACTCCTCCCCCTATCCAAAATAAACCGGAAGAAAGACATAAACCAACGATTTAAATGTATGGAGATTCATCACGGAGAGGATGAGAGGGATCTTGTTTTAGTAAATGAAAGGCAGACTTCCCTTGACCATCCTTTTCTATATTCGGATTTAGAACCTAATTATAACACTTACACAGGTTGAATATTTGAGTTATCTTTCGGATGTTTAAGAATGAATAAATGAAAGTAATATTGCAAAGTCTAAAACAGGATTTCAGTTAAGTGGACAGTATCTTCCATAATTGTCTCTGAATCTGAACCATTGTATTTTATTAAAAAAAGAGAGGCGGAGTTCAAGTTTATGATTAAAATGGCGGATTTTATGGCTTAAGAGAACTAGCAGAATATTTCAAGGCAGCAGAAGAAACATACATAGCCTTAAACAAAGATGAATATTTTTGCTAGCTTTTTGGTGCAACCTGGAATTGTATGTCATGAAGAAGCAATCCTAGACACAATAGAGGATCTGCACAATCTGTAATTACGTTTGTGGCACAGCTTAGTGCACGAATTTATATAATCTTTGGTTACTTAATAAGAAAAAGGGGAGCAATTAGATGCCAAAAAACCTTGTTGAGGACTATCTCATGAGTGGAACCAAATGGCGGAGAAGCATGCAATTTGACAACGCCCATTGATGTTGCAATTCTATCATAGACCACTTGGGTAATGCCGATGGTTATATATCAATATCTATGTAGCGCTATTGGAAAAGATTCGAAAAAGACATGATAAATCAACAGAGGGGGAATGGCGGAGAGAAGATACATTACCCAAACTGAGAGTTTTTACAAAAAGGTCTGTTCCCTCAATATACTGATTGGATCGACAAGGTCAGTGTATGGTTTTGACAAAGAGATAAACATGCAGATATTGAAAGACTTGACTCTTGTTGGTGAGAGAGAGTAGCAGAAATGAAATACGAGGGTATTATCACCCAAAGGCATTCTATCAACCAATTCAGCTGCTTCTATAGCCATTTAGGTGGGGTGAGGGAGACTCAACAAAGCATGAAATAGTGGTGGCTATGAAATACCAATTGATCAGTCAAATCAAGCAGTTCAAGTCCACAGCAATTAAAATATAGTATTATTGCTTCTATTATCTAGTGAACTCACCTCGACAATATCACCTTCCTTTGCAACAATCCTCTTGATAAAGACATCGTCATCCGTGTATCCTACCTCCTGAAGAACTGGTGGACTTTTGAATATTACTATGTCATTGGGACATGGCTTTCTAAAATAGTAACTGACCTGCAAACCACAAGATCGACATAGTTACGAACAAAAATGACTTCAAAATAATCGATATAAGATGGAAAGAACAGACTCTACAGGAGGTTTAAACTTTATTTCAATAAGATTCTGTAGGAGGCTTAAGCATATGTTCATACCCTCAGCTAGTCTATGATTGCAACACAAGTACACATATCATTAACTTCAAACACTAATACAAGAACGACGATGCAATTTGCGGGTAGTTCTCTTACACCTAGTAAAAGGTGATTTGATGCACCCCCAAGGCCTAGCTCAAGTGGCAAAAGGTGGAGGATTTGTGGCTTAGGTCGCAGGCCCAAGCCCCACACCACGCAAAGCGAAGCCTGGTATTTAAGTGGAGAAGGGTAGAGGGGCGGGCCCATTATCCACCGATTTTAGAAGGCTGTGATTGGTCCAAAGGGCAGGTCACACACGGATTTCTTGGTTATCAAAAAAAAAAAGGTGATTTGATGCGCCCCCAAGGCCTAGCTCAAGTGGCAAAAGGTGGAGGATTTGTGGCTTAGGTCGCAGGTTCAAGCCCCAGACCATGCAAAGCGAAGCCTGGTATTTAAGTGGAGAAGGGTAGAGGGGCGGTCCCATTATCCACCGATTTTAGAAGGCTGTGATTGGTCCAAAGGGCAGGTCACACACGGATTTCTTGGTTATCAAAAAAAAAAAAAAGGTGATTTGATGCATTTACAATTGATAGTAACAGCAAATTGATCACTAATCACTAAAAGTTACTACAATCCTAAAATCATATTCAAAGTTAAACTATTTCATATTTTAACGTCTATACTTTCTGATACTGACATTTTCATTTCAAATTCAACATTTAGGTCCAGGAGGGACCAAGAAGCATAAACTCCACAACAATATTGTACTCTACATTTCAATTGTCTCCAACAATTGATTCCCTTACATTTCAGTTTGTCCCCAACATCCAATGTTGGAAACTAAATCAACTGTCACTAGTTTATTCAGAAGGATATATTCAGCAAAAGAAGTGTCCAACTTATAAATCAATTATGCTTCAATCTTGAACTAGTCGGCGTTAGCTTATATAAACCACTCGTAATTTGATGATTCATCATAGTTAGGCTGTCTTTACACTACTTCAACATACTTCCTTTATCCAAACTTGAGACCGACTATCCTAAGCAAAGTTGAACTTCATTGGCATCCAAAGGTACAAATTCACAAACATATAGTCAAAATAAAACAAATTACTTTTCAGCTACAAGTTTCCAAATCAATTGTCAACTGTCACTATTTAAATCAGAACAATATATTCAGCAAAAAGGTGTCCAACTTTATCAACATCTTATATAGAGTATCAATTATGCCACTATCGGAAACAACCTCTCTACCCAACAAAGGTAGGGGTAAGGTTTACATACATCCTACCCTCCCCATACGGCCATACCCCACTTGTGAGACTACACTGGGTATGTTATTGTATTGCTTCTATCCGAAACTAATCGGGTTCAGCTTAGATGATTCATCACAGTTAGACTAGTTCAACACTGGCATTCAACCTACCTTAAATCTCCTCCTTTACCCAAACTCAAGCCTAACTATCCTTGTGAAGTTCAACTACATCAACAATAACAGCAACAACAACACTACTACTATGCCTCAGTTCCAATATGAAGTCAGTTATATGAATCCTCACTGCTTCACTTAAGTTTAACTCATGTCAAAACAACAAATTCACAAACATATAGTAAAAAAAAAAAAAAAAACTTTACTTTTCAGCAACAATTCTATCTCCACAGCAAATGTGGGATACATGGACAAGGAACTACAACAACTATTACTACTACTAATGTTGCTTCTGCTGCTGCTGCTGCTACTACGCCTCAGTCCCAATTTGGGGCCGGTTATATGAATCCTCACTGCTTCATTTAAGTTCAACTCATGTCAAAATAACAAATTCACTAACATATAGTCAAAACAAAACAAAAATTTACCTTTTCAGCTACAATTATATCTCCAACATAAGATGTGGGATACATGGACAAGGAACAACAACTACTGCTACTACTACTGCTGCTAATACAACTAATGCTAATACTAATACTCAGTCCCGATTTGGAGTCAGGCAATATGAATACTCAGCTCATATAAGTTCAACTCATGTCAAAAGAACAAATTCACAAACATATAGTCAAAATAAAACAAAAATTTACCTTTTCAGCTACAATTCTATCTCCAACATCAAATGTAGGATACATGGACAATGAAGGTATAAACCTTGGTTCAGCCACAAATGACCTAAATGCAAGTGATATAGCCACTGCCACAAAAACAGTTTTTGCATCATCTGAAGTAATATTCACCCATTCTGGCAAAACCCCATTTTCCTTCTCAGATTGCTCATCATCTCCACCACCACCACCACCATCTCCGCCGCCGTCACTGCCTCCGCCGTCACGGTCCAAAACCGTTTTTGTCTCATCTTTAACCCCTTTACACTTGAACCTCTGATTTTGAGATTTGCTACATCTAAAACACTTGAAAGTTAGAATCTTTGAGGTTTTTATGAAAGATTTGAAATGGGTGTCATTGAATTGAAGGGTTTTAGATAAAGGGTTGGAATTGAAAGGTGAAAATTGTGGGGATTTTGAAGGTATTGAAGAAAATGGAGAGAGGAACTGTAGAGTTATCATTGGATTTAGTGTAACTTTTTTATCTGCAACAATTTTACAGAGTTTCTTGATTCCTATATGTGTTGAATTCGAATTGGTAGTTAATAACAATGAGTTCTTTCCTTTTTCAAGAAAAAATTAGTGCCCGAATACACACTTAAACTAATATAAAGTTGAATATAAAGGTACATGCATTCTACTTGGCATTTTACGATAAGTGTATTTCATGTAAATTATCACGTAATATGCAACGTAGGATGCATTTAGCTATTTGTTCAACTTTATATAAATCTGAGTGTCTATTTATGCACGTTTAAAGTTGAAAGGCATAAATATTAATTGAAATCAAGTTAACATCGTGTTTGGATGATTGTTACCTATTGTATTGTTAGTTTAAATACAATGTTTGTTTTGATTGTAACTTAAATTTTATTGTATCGTTTAAATTCATCGTTAGATAATGACAAAAAGACCAATTTTATGTAACGATAGATTTGGTGTGATCGTGTCGTTACCTTAACATTTTCTTCTCATTTTGTCTTTGTTTATTATTTAATAATTATATTTTATCTTTTATCCTACCTTTTCATAGTATCTCTACCTCATATCCAACTTCTTTTGTAGGTTTATCATTCAAATTATAGACCAGTAGCATTATGTAATGACGGAGAACGATACAATATATTCAAATAATGTATTCATTAGAACAAATACAATACAATGATATATAACAAAATACAATAGAATATATTATGAAACATTACGTAACAATCATCCAGCATACTAATTGCTTCTTAAATTCATTCATTAGCCTAATAATTTTTTGGAAAAATTACCTATATACACACCTTTATTTTCCATAATTTCCATTATTCCCTACCATTTTAAAATATTTTCAAAATCCCTTATTATTCCCCAATTCTCAAGTCAGCCGATACATTACTCCTAACACAACAAACCCACTTTTCCCTTCCTATTTTTGCTCCTTAAATCTCTCCCTTATTTCACTCCCATAATCTGATCAGTTACATCCTTCATCCCAATTTGAATTTCAAAAGGTTTCTCTCTCTAATATCAATCAATTTCAAATCACTGAATATGTAGTTTTCATCTTCTCAATTCTACTATTCTTCGATTTTTCTTGAAGTTTTCATCTTCTTCATCTAGCATTTGAATTAAACTCATCTAAGATTAATAATACTAGTGCTTATGAGAACGACGTAGTTCCTAATTTCTTTGTCATTGCTGATTTCAGTCCCCAATATTAGTCTTATTTTTATGTCGAGGCAAATTTTTCTGATTTATTTTTGGTGGGGGTGTACTTGGATATTCTTCCAACATAACAGGAGAAACAGAAAAGACTGATGATCAATCCAAAATAAACAATATTAGTTCATCAAGTTATAATGAGTATTAGATATAAATTTTTGACATATGTTTGATATTGCCCTTTGTTAGTTGTTTCAAGAATCTGATATATTAATGGCAAAGTGTTGTTCTTGTATTGTCATGTATCATAAGTTAAATATATTATATCAATACATAAAATTCTAATTTTGTTCTCTTTTTGAATAGGTGTCATGAATGGGATGTAATATGCAGAATGTTATATCATATACATATAACTATACATGATACATAAATATTACATAATGAGTATATGAAGTTATAATTAGTATCAAATATAAGTTTTTGATACATTTGCAGTTTATCAAGTTGTAATGAGTATCAATATCAGATACACAGTTAAAATACTTTATATTTGCTATTATCATATACTTGAATTTTAATATGTATCAAATTCAAAAATTTGTTGAAATGTATCAAATTCACACATAAGATACATTACAAGTTACTAATTTAATTGTTTGTCATTTTGTTTAGATTATGTGCGTACACGATATGCAACCCTATTATGAAAAAACGGTATTGAAAAGACTAAGGCAGGATACGTAAGTGAAAATGAGGATCCACCAAGGCCTAAGAGTGAATTCACAGCACCAGCTCAAGACGATTTGGTGAATGTTGAATAAAGATTATCTAGCAGTTGTTAGACACTTTTTTATAGTGTTATTGTTTTTGAGATACATAAACTTTAGTTTTAGAGTTTGTTGTTTTTATTGTTTTAGGATACTCGTACTCAAGTTTTTGAGTCTTTTTGTAAAAAGTTATTTATTTTGACTTTAACTTTCATTATTTTTAGTTGTTATTCACTGTATGGATTGTCGTACACATTTGTCTTATATAAACTAATACAAATTTGGATAAAATTAAGTATCAGATTCATTAATGCATAAACACACAATATTATTTCTTCTCATTAGTTTTAGTTAATTGCCGATACATTTTGACACGTAACCAATGTAATGTAATTTATAACTTGATTGCTGATTCAATTATGTATTTACTTGATAATTTTGTTCTAGTTAGTTGCGTATTGATTTATGTTGATACATTGAATAATTAGTTGTTGTTAGTTCATGATTCATTCATGTATCTAATAGCTAGATTAATTCTTACTTACCGTGATACATTTATAGATACACTTAATTTTATTTTACATATTACTATTCGCAACGTTATTGTATCAGATACATTATATAAATGTATCTGAACCATATTGAGGAGTACCATATCCAAAAACACGATATTTGGTACATTATTATCAAATAGCTAATGATACATTATTTTTAAAAAAGGTATATGAAACATAATGTGTTACAAAAAATGAACACAAGGTTGAAAATCTTAACATTTCAATTTATTGTATCAAAATTTCACCAGGTAATAGTAAATTGTAATGTTTTATCAAGGTAAAAGTTGAAAAGCAAAAACTGAAAATCTATAATCTCAAAATAATGTATTTGAAACATAACAGTAGTCCCAAAAGAGAGTTTGTCAATCTTCTTTCGAAAAGAAAGTACAAGTTCATCAGTTATGACCTTTTTGTCCATAACGTTCACAACAGTCTGTGTTTGTGCTTATCTTTTGATTAGGTTTTTCCCTTCTTTTCCTTGGTCATCCAGACATCTTTTTGTACCTAGGTGGCAAGACAATTTCTTCCAAAACAAACTCTGGTACTGACCAATCGTCCTTATCCAACATTGAAACCATTGAAACTTCATATGTGTTTGCTAATGCAGCTGGTTTGTAGTAATCAAAGCAGTATGAATGTATCTTTGTAATACTTTTGCTCTTCACAACAATAATTGTGTGCGCACAAGATATCTCGTCATGCTGAAATCTCTTATAGTTACATATTTTTCTCTCAAGGTAAACAATGTATCATCGTCCACCTTTATACACTGAATAAATAAATTTAGAAGATGGAACAACTTGTGCATATTTAAAAGTTAGAGATACATCACATATCAATCAACTCAATTTAAGATACACAATCGCCTAATGATAATTAACTCCAGATACACGATAGTTTATATATTGATGCATACATTCATATATTGATATAGAAATTCATATACTGATAAATAAATATTCACATGTGTCTAATACGTTATAGTAACAGCATACTGACTCACATCTATAAAAATTCATTACATATACATTCAACTAAAATTGAATCAAGTTGAAATAAGTAATTTATCATGATTTATATGTGCATATACAAATTCAAAAATTAAAAATGAAATTCACATGTATCTAATACTTTATATTAAGAGTACAGTAACTCACAGATCTGCAAACCCATAAAATATACGTCAAAATTTTAATGTATCAAGTTCTAATCAGTAATGTATCATGACTTATCGATCAATATACAAATTCATGAATGAAAAACAATGATTAAAGCACATGAATATGCGTTTCATACCTTTTGTTATCAGATCTTTAACTCGAAAATTGAAGTTATGGGAAATACATAACTATTTTTACCCAAGCTAATTATAAAATAACAACTTTCAATTGCCTTCATATTTGGGATCTGCCATCACACAATGGTAAGCAACCACTAGCACAAAAATAAAGATACCAAGAAAATTGGCAAAGAAACCCAGATCATCCATAGTGAGATTTGTGTAAAATTCGAAGAACCCAAAAGCTACGATCTTCGATTTTTTCTTCCTTCGAGAGTGTCACTCAAAAATCAAAATATTCATTATGTATCTTATCAAATTTTCAACAAAAAATTTGAATCCTACTCGAAAGTTTCTTCGTTGAAATAGGGACAAAGATGAACATGAATTTTGAATTGATTTGTTATTTTAGAATATACGTTTCTCTGATTGACACAGTAAAAAGGAACTGAATAGCATGAATTATGGGATTTTAATTTGATTTTCTGTTTTATTTTCCTTTTTAAGCGCAACAGCCATATATATGATGTGTCACAATTAATGTATTCGGACAGCCAATTATGTATCCGGATGGCTAATATTTTAAGGGATTTCTATAAAATAAAAAAGAGTAGGGATAGAATGTAATTTAAGTTTTACACTATGAGATTTATGTAAGTTATACTAATTTTTTTCCTTAAAAAGATAAAAAGTTTAAGATCAGCACAAATAGGAGCAGAAGTGCAAATAGCCCAATTTTGGCACCTAAAAGTGGCAGAGGCCCATTAGATCAAATCACTATTGATGGGCCAATGGTTCACCAAATTCAGTTTACTAATTTGCTTCTTAAATTTATTCATGGGCCAAAGCATGGTCCATCATGCTCCTACTCTTCATTTCAGCCCAAAGATTTTCCACAAATAGGCTATAGTGTGGTCGATATGTGCGTTTCTTGATTATTTTATTTGACATATATTATCTTCCACCAATGTTTGACATTGATAACTTCACCCACTAATATTTAGATAAACGGAAAAAAAAGTTCAATATTTTTTTGTTTCTGTTGAAATTTGAATTCTAGTTTCTTGCGACTTTTACTCGCTTCATTAACCACTACGCATACTTTTGGGTACATTAGATGGTTTTTTTTATTTAAATTGCATTATATGTTCACAGAAAAATTCTATCTGCATTATGTTTTAACCGGAACTTTATCTTATACAGTTGAGCATAGTAGCAGAGTCTAAATTTTCGTTAATGGAGCTAAAATATAAAGACATAATAAGCATATCATGAAAAAATCATGAGGATTCAATATATAGATTTATAGTGTAATTTTTCGGTGAAGGACTGTCAACTGACATTCCTTGGACAGGAATGGCTCTGCCACTAGTTTAGTTTATCATATGTAATACTCTATTTGTTTCAATTTATGTGACATTTTCCCATTTTGCTCTTAAGTTTCGTGTCATGGCACCCTATGTCTACGTCGTAGAAGATATCAATTGCTGCTTGGAGAAACAAATTTATTTGTCGGATATAGTATTATTGCATTGCAATCAAACACCTTCACATAAATCGAAAGGAAGGAGAAAACCTGATCATTGGGATAAGCTTGGAACCTTAAACCAACCACTTTGGTTACCCAACACCACCAAACAAATGATTAACCAACAAACATACTAGAATACTACAACCAACTGATAAGATAAACACAGTTGGCAGAAAAAACCATGTGCTATTGAAGTAATAAAGTCAATAAATATGGTGAGATCTTAGCAAGTTGTGACTTGTCCCCATGTTTTTCTTGCATGTGCAAAAAGGTTGTCTTGAATATAATTTTGATAGATACCCCCTTTTAACTTTTGCTTTTCTTTTGTGTCACAAAGGACCACTTTATAATTCCATTAAACAATAGTATTACATTACTTATTTTTGCACTAAAAAAAAAAACATCATTTACAAAGAAATTCTTTTTTTTGACCTATCTATATAGTGTAATTTTTGATAAAGCAGTGTCACATTAGTTTAATCCTTAATAGATAGAACATGTAGTACATTCGTTGGTTGGAGATTGCATTACGTATTCGGTGAAATAGTAAAAGTGTGCACAAACTGCCCTTAAATTATGCCTTAGAATGTGCTCAAAAGAATCTAAAATGCTTAATGCAAGTAGTAATACATGACATTAGTCAAAGTTACAATAACAATATATCCAATATAATCTCATAGCTAGAATCTAAAGAGGATAATATGAACACAAATTTTATCCCTACCTTCGTTGTTGTTTCTGAAAGATGCTCGACTCAAGGGTAACAAGACAACATTGATCAAAATTGCAAAACAAAAATAAAAGTCAGTAGCTTGGCATGACAGCTTGGATTCAAGAAAAGACAAAATTCAAAGTTGAATAAAATACTACATACAACTTGCTTAGTTTTGTCATCTACCAATCTATTGATTCAAATCCAACTTGCCAAATGCACACTTCGGCCAAAAAATCAAAACATCAAGGAATAAGTCTAAGTTGATATGAACAAAACAATCAATGCTACAATTGAAGCATTGAATAAAAGAATTAACAGTATAAATACAATGGAGAACTTATCTCATTTAAAAAAGAAGAAAAAAACCTGTATATTGACCAAAATAAATCATCACTTTTATGCAATTGTTGAAGCATTCATATCATAAAGAGTTAGGTTGAAAGACTATACAGAAATGGAGTTTCTTGTACTAAGAAGTTCCACTGAAGCCTTTACTTCCACTGAATCCTCTGCTGTCTTTTTTCATCCGACCCGTTTCCATTTCCGCAGTTTGATGGCCTTCGCTACTTGATCCAGACGGGTTTAGTCCATATTCACTCGTTGGATTACTGTACTGATCACTGCTGGCATATTCTTGACTAGTCGCGAGTGCCATCTTCCTGAATTTCTTCATGTCTTCGTTGTATTGAAGTGTGTCGTAATCTGAACTTGTATATGAACTGTATACTGTGCTGTGTCCAGGTTTAATCCCTTCGTTAAGGTCTGATAATGAGACATCTCCTTCCAAGGCTCGGAGAACCTGCTCAATTTATACCGTAATAAATTTAAGATTGCGGATATTATGTCTAAGTTTGCAATCTACATCTTGACTAGAGCATCAAACATAGTGCTTTTTAGTTTTAATTCAATTGTAGAAGGTTGCAGTTCATTGTAACTCGAAACTTCATCAATGCTTAGTATGTTTTAATCTTTAATGTAAAATGGAATTTCACCTGTGTCATTCGTGGTCTACGCTTTGCTGAATGACGCACACAAGCAGCACAACAAGCAACCATGCGAGCCATCTCGTTATGGTTATAATCATTTTCTAGCCGACGATCAACAAGGGTATCAAACTTTTCATCTTCTAAAGCTCGTGTGAGTAATGGACGTGCCTGAAATAGACAGAAAGTAATTTCGTTGTTACGACAACAAATTACTCGAACTGCAGAACTGGTGGAAAGAAAGGAAATCAAACACGTCACACATGTCTGCATAACTACTCACCCAGTCCACCAAACTATCTTCGATGTATGATTGAGTAGAGTCAACAGGCCGACGTCCAGTTATCAACTCAAGAAGCATTACACCAAAGGAGAATACGTCTGACTTGTCTGTAAGCTTTCCAGAGGAAGCATATTCTGGAGCCAAATACCTAGGGGGTTGACAATAATGAAGAAACACATTCAGGTCTACTTGAAGATCAAATGGAAAAGAAGCAGCAAGCCATTGGTCATTAACATCGACTCACTGGAATATCAATAACACGGTTAAGAAAAGGAAGTAACTAATTTATCACACAAGAATCCAAGTCTTACCCAAAGGTTCCCATCACTCTGGTGGAGACATGAGTATTAACATCAGAAGTTAGCTTGGCAAGTCCAAAATCAGCAACCTGAGAAAGCAAAAAAAGCTTCTTTGAGGAAACAGGATTTACTCTGTAAGTACAACTGAATTCAGCTTCTGATGGCATCATAATGTATAATTAGCAAATATCAACCTCTGGGTAAAGGGGATTGGAGATAATCATTGTCAACGATTCAAAAATCAAACAAACAAAAAGGTACATGTTCCAATCCACATGCAAAAGACTGTTACCTTAGCCTCAAAATTAAAGTCGATAAGTATATTAGCTGCCTTGATATCACGGTGAATGATTTTCGGTTGGCCTGTGAAGAGAAAACAATTCATTTTACATATTGAACACATAACAAAAAAGGCTAGAAGGATTATAGCATGATTTAAGAATGAGAAAGAGAGAAAACATACAGTCTTCATGCAGATATGCCAGTCCTTTAGCTGACCCTAGAGCAATCTTTAGTCGTATTCGCCAATCCAAAGGAGGCCTTCCCTTTCCTAAGATATTATAAGAATAAGAATTTTGGTTACTAGACAGATCGTATGTATAATTTGAGTCGAAATTTGTAGGAAGTAAAATAGATTTACCGTGTAAATGAAATTCCAAAGTATTGTTTGGAACAAACTCATAAACAAGCAGTCTCTGAGCCCCAGTAATGCAGTATCCAACAAGAGACACAAGATGCTTGTGATGTACTCGGCTAATAATCTCAACTTCCGCCTGAAATTCACGTTCCCCTTGTCCACTTCCAGCCTTAAGCTGTTTAACTGCAACTTCTTTCCCGTTAGGAAGGATTCCTTTGTGCACATAACCAAAACCACCTTGTCCAAGAAGGTTAGCATCTGAGAAGCCATCAGTTGCCCGAACCAATTCCTCGTATGTGAATGTGCTCTGTGAGAAACCTAAGGACATGGCAGGGGAAGGTGGTGGAAGCGCAATTTCAGACCCAGAATAATTTGAAGAAGCTCCACTGCTGTTCATGTAAGGTTGAGGCTGAGGTGAAGGTGCACGTGGTGGAGCATGTGAAGGTAGTAACCCCCCTGCTGGTGGAGGAGACGGTTTAGGGGGCATTGTAACAAAATGATCTGCTGGAGGTGGAGGATTTTGCTGCCAATGTTGCATTTGCCCACCATGAGGGTCAGCTGACAAACAACATTAAAATTAGTCATGACTAATGATCATCGAGACTCTGACTACATAGATCATCAAAAGATATTCACTATCAAGAATTAAATATATAAAATCCTGTTTAACAAACAATTATGTTGGCCGATAAAACTCAAAAATAACTAAATGCCAATGATAAATTGTTTCAAGGCTCTCAAAACATCCAATGGCATATACATCAAACACTCTCCTATCAAGCTGTTTCCTTATTATTAAGAAAATTACAATGTGTAAGTGCATATAATCAATCCATCAACTTTCAAGCTCATCATTTCTTATCAGTTATCACAACTAATTATCTGAATCTCTGATGCTTAAACTCCACAAAGCCATTCTACAATGAAACTAAATAGTCAAAAAAGTCGACATTCGACAACTTCCTGTTAATTATCATCAGCACTGAAAATTGTACATAAAGGATGACAAATCTCTCTCACAATGCAAATTTTGGTAAATATTCACGGGAAGAGTTCAAGTGACTATATATATAGCTAATGTTTGGCCTTTTTAAACATAAAAGTTATCACATAATCTTCAATTTTTTTCCAAGTACAATGCATGGCCAGACTCAAATTTTCAAGTTTCAACTTCAAAATCTACGACCAAACGGAAGCATAAACAGATCTATTCAGCAATCCAGACACTAAAAGCTCAGATTTTTATGCATTTATTCAAATAAGATCTCACCTTTGATCCCTTGTGGTGGTGGAGGTGGAACATAGTAATTAACTGGTTCATGATTTCTCCTTTTCTTCTTCTTGCAAAATATGAACAACAAACTCAGAATTGCAAGAATTAAAACACCCCCAATAGCAATTCCAACAACAACCCCTGTCGATATTCCCGATGACCCTTCATCTGACGGCGGTGGAGACAATGCCGGCGGTGATGGTCTTCCTCCACTAGGTGGCGAAGGAGACCCCCCTGAAGGTGATGGCGGAGAATTCCCTCCCGCCGGCGGTGACGGGGTAGAACCAGGAGGAGATGGGGTTGAAGGGGTGGTGGATGGTGGAGAAGGAGACCCAGATGGAGCAGGAGTTGTCGGAGTTGTTGACGGAGGCGGATTGGAGGACGGAGAAGGTGTAGTTGGTGGAGGGGGAGAGGCTGAAGCAGCCGGCGGAGGAGTTGCTGCCGGTGGTGTCGGAGTTCTTGCTGGTGGAGGAGCTTGAGCAGGAGTTGATGGAGGTGGAGTCGTTGCCGGTGGGGTTGGTGACGCCGGCGGCGGAGCTGTTGCAGGGGGCGTCGGAGACGCCGGCGGAGGAGCTGTTGCAGGAGTCGACGGTGGAGGAGAAGTAGCATTACTAGGCGGTGATGTAGGGGACGGAGCGGTCACCGGCGTCGGAGTTGACATTTTCCGGCGACCCTTTATATGTCTCTGTGTGTAAAAAAACGAAAAAAGAAGACAAACCCAGAAATCAAATCAAATAATACAAACAAAAATTGGTTAAAAATCAAAACTTTGTTAAGAAAAATGTGATTTTGTGCAAGAAATTCATATAACTTTAGCTTTTCTCTATAGAATTTTACTCCTTTTAGGAGAGAAAATGGAGAGAAGAAAAAGAGGAAAACAGAGTCTAGTATAGTAGTAGTAGAATAAAAAGAGGGAAGAATAAGTATGAACAAGATATTTTAATTATTTTTTGTAAACTTATTTTTATTCTTTTTAATAACTTTAACTTTTGTGTTTTGATTTTCGTGCGAGTTGTTTATGTCAAATCAATGAATATGTACTAATACGGATTGAAAACTACGTAATTACTTACTTAGTCATAATAATTTATGTTAAAAAGAAGATGTGTCACATAAATTGGGATTACTTAAAAAATGGTTAATTAGTGGAATACTTCATTCGTCTCTAATCTTATCGTGTTTCTCTTTTACACATTTCTCAAGTAACTTTAATTTTTTTTAAACTGACTACTATTTTCTTCAAATTTTTACTCTATTAAGGTTTTGTAGTCTTCAAAGTTAACTACTACTAATAAAGATAAAATGTGGTCGTGGTGATTTTTTTTATCTTGAATTTTTAAAATGATAAATAATATAAAATATTATTTTTTAAAATTACAACATATAATTTGAGGCAAGAAAAAGTATAAATTTTCACTTCATTAAATTAGTTAACTACAATAAGTTGTAATAATTTAACATAACTTTGGTATATAAAATGACTTTTTTACCAAAAAAAATAAATTAAACATAAACACATTGTGCGAATAAATATTTATCTTTTAAGATTTAACGTAAATACCCAATTCAATATACCATTATTTTTTTACAAGTGAATATCGATTGACATTTTCTTAAATAAAAATAGCTCCACTCCTAATCGAAGATCAATAAATATTAACACAATTTTACACTTGTGTTTTGGTATAAAAATCTATATAATTATAAAATAATAATTTATTTTGGATTATAAAAATAAAATTTTGTCATAATTAAGTTTATGGTAAAAGATATTTTCTAAAAATATCCATATATTTCAATTACAACTAAGCTATAATTAAGGCGCATTTGATGGCTTGATAATATCCACGTGGCCGCAGTCGGCCGGTCGAAGGAAAATAATTGGACCGGTCGTAACACGACCGGCCCGCGCTTTCGCTTTCTAATATTTTAAACAAATTTAATATATTATTAATTTATTTTGCAAAATAAGCAAATTATAGTAGTTGCTATTAAAAAAAAAAAAACTACTACAATTGAATGTCAACTTATCATGGTAAATGGATAAAAAGGTCACTTGTATTTGAGTAATAATTGCGTTAAGTTAATAGATGTAGTATATCTTTTTATTTTTGATAGTGCTAAGATAAATTTATATGCATTTCAATTAATTTTATGAAATATTTATTGCTTTTGACATGTAATAGGTATCAAAAAATCAAAATCATGCCATGGTGCTCAATTTCATGTCACACTTTAAGCAATTGTCGTATATATGTACTAAATGTTTTTACACATATCTATCGGACTTAAAATTGGTTAGCTAATTTATATCTTCACAGTAAAAATTTAACCTCATCGATGTTTATATCTAAGGAATAATTGTGTGACATTATATTCATATATCATCACTTAATCATAATTAACTAACTTATATCTTTATCGGATTAAGTTTTGTAATCATTAAGTTGAATCGATTTCATATAAACATTCAAATGAATAAATATTTACCTATTTTTACTTTATTAAACTACCTATTCATAATAAATTAAATTAATTTGACCAATAACTTCATAATAAATTAAATTAATTTGACCAATAACTTCTTATCTAAATGCACTATATTTAATGTTCTTTGTCGTTTTTCTAGATTATAAGTTCCAACTAGAATGTCTAATTTGGTGTACTACACGTCAATTTTATTTTATGTTTTAACAAAATTCAAATACTTTTAAATTAGATATAACACATGAAAATGTCATTTAATTTGGTATCAACTTATATTTATGATATTCAATTTGAGTGTGCAATTAATAAACACTTAAATTTATATAAAATTATAACTAGTTATGTTTGTCCTACATACCCTTCTATAAGTGATTATTCACGTGAAATAGACTCAAACTAATTTATATATGTCATGTGTATAGTCTATATCAAACCATAATCAACTTTTTAATGATTAAGTAATTTTGATGATGAAAATGCATTTCGACTACTGTTATTAAGTAATAAAAGTCTAATAAATCTATTAATTTGATATAAACATACACGCAAGTTAAAACGCGTCACAAATTCTTACTAGTTAGTAGTACTAAATAATCACTCAATAGCCTATATATTCATGTGAGTGACTAAAATCTTGTTGGAATATAAATATTGTTTAGGTTAAAGTAAATGATTAGTGACGTGACACTAATTGGGTTTTAAATTTAATTAGTCAATGATTAGTTAACGTGTAGTTTTACATTTTCAATTTTTTTCTTTTTTTATTATACATATAGTATATTTATTTTAGTGTTGAAGATTGGCCTTAAATTTAAAGTAAAATGGCAAAAAACAGCTGGATGCATGGAAACACCACCAAACATCGAATTATAATTAACGCGTTTTAAAAAAATTAAGATATAATAAATCATCCAATTAGTAAAAATAATAATAATTTAACTATCCATAAATAGCTGGTTTCAGAAAACTTCTAGATTTTCTAAATATCTTTTTCTTCAAAATATGGTCAAACTATTCAATATTGGATGTTAGAATAGATTAGTGGACCTTTATATAAATAGTGATTTTTCGATGAAGGATGTTTAATTAATCCTCCTTAATTAGATGTAATATTAGATTTTGTAATATGAGAGATTTCATCCCACATTATAGGAAAGAAACTAAAATAACTTTTTGGATTTATATAGAAAGACGTTATTCAGTTTTACACTAATTAAATTAAATAATTTGGGAAAAAAAACAAGTTCTTGTATCGCTGACCGCCATTCATCATTCATTTCGATTTTTCGATTTCGAATTCACTTGACTTTATATTTAAACATCAATTTTGAGATCTCTTTCTTCTCTATAACTCTTTTCCGCACTATTTTTGTAAAGAAACAAAATATATCATATATTTATTTCGATTTTGTGGTTCGAATTTTGCTGAAATTTGAAGTAATATTGTTGTTAACATGTCAATAAAGACCAACAAATAAAGTATTAAAGTTATGCACGATTTTATTATTCAACGGTAGGGAACTATATATAGACCTATTCTTACGTTAACGTTATGATATTTCCTGTCAATAAACAATTTTATTGACTTTTAAATGTAGGTGAATTTTATATTTATATATATTTGATGCATTATTTTATTTAATAAAGTAAAAAACCAAAGAACATGTCGTTGAAGGCAAAATTGCATGAATAATATTTGCCAAATGACAACTAGTTGCCAGAAGGAATTTGGAAAGGCCTGCAAATGAAGAATATTATGCATGCATGGTCATCAAATATTTATAGTGACAATAATTTTATTTTATTTTATGGAATAATTTTTTAATTTTTTGAAAATTAAGTTTAGCCAAGAAAAATTCAAATCTTAATTGAAGTTGTATTTGAATTTAGAAAATAACTATATATATAATCTATTTTCCAATTACTTTTTTTTTCATTTTAAAGTTGAATTTATACATTATTCAAGAATGAACATTTTTTCTAATATTATGTGCCAGAAGTATAATCAAATGCAAATTCATCTTCAATTTCAACTTTATAATTAAAATAAAAAATATATTTTTTAAAAGAAAAATTACCTAAATACACAACTTAATTATTTTATCATATTTTTTAAAATTCTCTACCATTTGAAAAAATTACAAAAATTTCTACTCTCTCCTATTCGCTGATACGTCACTTTAGGCAATGTATTGATTGGATACGCGATGTATCGAGACGTTGAGCGATGTATTTGAAATAGGAACGTGAGGTATCAGTACATTTCCGGATTCCACCACATTTAAGGGATTTTTTATAATTTAAAAAAGAGTAGGGATAAGAATGTAATTACCTCTTAACACTATGTGATTTGTGTAAAATTCCCTGAAATCAATGACTAAACATCTACATTATTAATCTATCAAAGCATAATGTATATACGTGACTTAACTTGGCATCAACTATCATGTATGTCCTCGTACTATATATGAATGTGCATAATTAGACACTTAAACTTATATAAAATTGAACAAATAAACGCATACGTCATATGACATAACATGCGTCCTACATGACATAACAAAAATCAGTTCAAGTGTGTATATCCCATATGTGAATTGTCATATTAGATGCATGAGTTTGTAGACTGTAGTCTATCTGTACAACTATAAATAAATTTAAATATCTAATTACGTATATCAAAATTAAAAGACATAAATACTAATCATAATAAGATTTAAAAACACATTTATACATCATATCATCTATCAATACTTACCACTTAAACTCAAACGGAAATAATGTTGCACGTCTTTGGTGAGCTCTTGTATGTTTGGACTTTGGACTGCCGTATTTGACCTTCCTTTTTATATTGTTTTTTATTTATTTAATTTATTTATCTGTTTTAAATTTAATATAAGATTTGATAAAATAAAAAAGACATTTAAATTTTGTGTTATTAAGTTAAAAATATATCTAACGTATCAAAGCATCTTTTAATTTTTTAGTCTTACACATAACATATGAAAAATTGTAATTGAAGAGTGGTTAAAGAAAAGGAAAAAAATATTACTTTTTTTAACATATTAAAAAAAATAAAGATAAATAAATTGAAACAAATGAAAAGATTAATTTACAATTTTACTTATAAAGCTGCTTAGAAAAAAGTTACAATTACTAGCTAATTAGTGTGGATTTGATAAAGTAGAAAATTGGTAATTAACTTAATAACTCCAACTTGTTAATTAGAGCATATATATATATACTAATATAAGCATAAAACCACACTATTAGTTAGTACTTCACGTTTCAAACATTATTATAAAATAACGACGTTGTTTGTTTGGATATATATCACGTCAAATTCACTTTTCTTTTTTTTTCAAAATTCTGCTTTAAAATCTTTTGA